ACTATTCTGAAAAATTACAGTAAAGTGATTGCATTGATAATCACAAAGTTCAAAACCATAAAACTCAAATTACTGTTCTTTCATTTGCTATGATGGAGCAAAAGGAGTCAACATCAGGGCAACAATCTGACCAACAAGGTTTACACTTTATTTCATTTAAAAATTAAAAATAGATTTGAATTGCTCCTAAAGGTCTAATAATAGCACATAGATCTATTATAGTAATATATACATTTTTAAGACTTTAGACTGCTGCTTGCTGAACTAAGCCACATCATAAAGGATGAGTTTAAAGCATTGGCCAGTTGTGCTTTAGAAGGGAAAGTGCATTAGGGAACAGGGAGCTCCATAAAAGCTACATAAAGATATTACCACTGTCTGTCCCATCACTCTCAGCTGTCCCTGATAGCCTGGGACATCTGTGACATCTGTGATGCAGCCTGGAAAAATTCCCCATGTCCCTTTTTAACTTGATGCTTTTTTCAGTGAACATTATTAACGAGGAAAAAAACCAACCCAGAAACAAACCTGACACAACATTAATTGAAGCCTAGTGATTTATGTTTGTTTTCTTTTCATCCAGACCAACTCAATACCTTTCTGAATCTTTTATGATGCTTGTTATAGCCTTTACACCTGATTTATTTCACATGCTATCCTCTGAATCATCCCAAATGCAGATGTATTTGTTTTAAAAGATTTTGCTGAGACTTGGAAATATTTTTCCCTTTCTGTAAAGGCTCCATAAGCAACCTCTTAAATTATTCTTTGCACAAGCACACAATGACAGCTTCTGCTATTACGCGGTTCAGACAGGTTAATTTTTATCTGCTCAGATGGCAGTAAAGGGAGAAAGTACAAGACAAAACCGCCTCTTTCTCTTACAAAGGAAGGCTGTGGGGACATAGAAACTACTCTGGAGCAAAGCTGGAAAATCATCCCTGGGGAGAACATCACAGTCTCTAAGGTGATGTGGTAGCAGAGATGTTCATCTGAATTGGAAAAAGGTTACATATTTTTTCAAGATCTTTTAGTACTATGATTTCCAAATCACCTCTCCTAAAACTTAGTTAAATATGTGTTTATGAGTAACTGATTCTAGTGGCAATTCTAAAAGAATAACAGGTATTTTTTCAATAGAACAGAGGGAAAAAAAAGAAAGCACCATTATGGTCCATTAATTTCAAAGACAAACTTTCATCTCTGAGGAAGGTTTTGTTATATTTCTCTGAGGTTGTTTATGTAAAGAAAATGTAGGAAAAATTTCAAGAAGAAAAAATTAAATAATGGCAAATATTAAAAATATCCTTTCCCCAACACTGCCTTATGAGGTTTAAGATTTGTAAGCACTCCTTTTGTTAGTTTAACATTTCAAAGGGGGCAAGTTGTCTTCTTGAGAGCTCCTTGTTAAAGACATAATGCTTTTCAAATTAATGTTTAAAATTTCTTAATTTTACTGTAAGAATATCATAATACCTAGTTAAAGCATAGTTACTGTATTTATAACAACTGGAGAAGAATCTATACAATATTCCATTATTCCGCTGGAACCTCTGCTGTCAGACCCAGATACTCAATAAATACCCCCCAGGGACACAGAGGTGCCACTATCATCAGCTTAGTGATGAAACACAGCTTTTAACTGACCAGTGAAACTTTCCCTTTTTTTCAGAACAAGACTCAGAATATGTAAATCTCTTCAAGCTTGAGTTTTTGTAGAGATGTTCTTCCCAGGTGAACCAGTAGCACCAGGACAGCTGAGAACATTAATTCAGTTTACATTTGTACCCCTGGTCAGGAGAACAGGGCAGGCTGCCATGGTAATATCCTTAAAAAGGGAGAAACAGTGGGAAAGAGTGGAACACAACTCAAAAGAGGTTCAAAATGCTACACTCTGGTACCATTTAACTGCACAAATACAGACTGAGGAGCAAGGAGTTGCCAATAGGAGTCCCTGGAGATATAACAGTATATGAAGAATATAGAATAGAATATAGAATATAGAATATAGAATATAGAATATAGAATATAGAATATAGAATATAGAATATAGAATATAGAATATAGAATATAGAATATAGAATATAGAATCAACCAGGTTGGAAAAGACCTCTGAGATCATCAAGTCCAACCCTTGATCCAACCCTGCCGTGGTTCCCAGCCCATGGCACTGATGCCAAATCCCTGGGCAGCCCATTCCAGTGGCTGATCACTCTCTCTGGAAAAAATTTCTTCCCAATATCCAACCTAAACCTCCCCTGGCACAGCTGAAGACCCAGCCCTCTTGTCCTACTGCTGCTTCCTGGGAGCAGAGCCCGACCCCCCCGGCTCCCCCCTCCTGTCAGGGAGTTGCAGAGAGTGAGGAGGTCTCCCCTGAGCCTCCTCTTCTCCAGGCTGAGCCCCCCCAGCTCCCTCAGCCTCTCCTCACAGCACTTGTGCTCCAGTCCCTTCCCCAGCCTCGTTGCTCTTCCCTGGCCCTGCTCCAGCCCCTCCATGTCCTTCCTGAGCTGAGGGCCCAGAGCTGGACACAGCACTCCAGGGGTGGCCTCACCAGTGCTCAGTCCAGACAAAGAATCTCTGCCCTGCTCCTGCTGCCACACTGTTCCTGAGCCAGGCCAGGATCCATTGGCCTTCTTGGCCCCCTGGGCACACTCTGGCTCCTGTTCAGCTCCCTGTCCATCCCCACTCCCAGCTCCCTTCCTGCCTGGCTGCTCTCCAGCCCCTCTGGCCCAGCCCGGGGGGCTGCAGGGGGGTTGCCCAGCGGTGCTTCAGCAGAGAGCACAGGGCTGGGGCAGGTCAGAGGCACGTGGACAAAGGTGTGACGCTGCTGTTGATTCACAGACAGCAGGAGCTGCAATCCCAGAGCTGCTCCTCCAAGATCTCAGCTATTTTTTCACTACAAGAGTGGTCAGGCATTGCAGTGAGTTGCCCAGGGAGGTTGTGTCACCATCTCTGCAAGTGTCCCAGAGGTGTCTGGATGTGACCCTTGGGGATGTGGTTCAGGGGTGATTGTGGTGCTGCTGGTTGATGGTGGGACTGGATGATCTTGAAGGTCTCTTCCAACCTTGATGACTGTGATCAGATTTGGGCATCACTAACTAAACAGAGAAAATACAATGAGGATGATCTAAGACTATACATGTATTTTTCACAGTTCTAATCCCAAATTGATGTTAAAGCTGTTTCCCACAGTAAATTGAGTTGTTACTATAAAATGTAGAAAAGAACACCCAGCGCTGCTACACTTTAGAACACAATGTTTTTATTAATAGTAGGCTTTTGACACATTTGCAATTTCAAACATTTATTGTAGTGGACAAGTACAAAAGTCAAAGAGTGTGACAATATGCCAGCATTTTGCAAAACAGCTGAAAATTTAAGTTATTTAATAAAGTGTTGTTTCACAATATGATTAATGTGTGTGGACACACAGGTGATATTAAGCTGGATTTGTGTAGCTCTGTGCTACACAAGAAAACACATTCCCTTTCTCAAAAAAAAAAAAAATAGAAAGGATTATAATCAGAAAAGAATCAGAGAATGAAATTATGTCAGTAAGATTTGCAAAGATGCTTCTCACATCTGTAATGAGGAAATGCAGCTGGAGAGACAAAACAGAGGAAGCAGAAAATTCTAAAACATCCAGAGCACCTTTTGTTCTTTTTTGCAAATTCTTTGAGTTCTTTCAAACCATTTACATTATTTGAAATAATTTAAGTGGCTCTACATGAGTGTTTTGTCTTCCAGAACGGATGTTTTTGGCACAACATGTTCTATCCTTGTGAGTCATCACAAAACCCAGTTTTGGTGCTTCAGATGTTGAACATTCCTCTGCTTTGTCTTTCAAGAACACAGGATTCAAACAATTTAAGTTTTTGTGGTTTTATTTTCATTTTGCTCCTGCAATCCCTCCCAGACAGAAGAGAAGCACAGTCCACACATCATCTCTGAGCTTTCTTAGCCTGGTTGGTAACCAGGGGGAGCAGGTCCCTGCACAGCTTCCAGGGATGCACTTGGGATGAAGGTTCTGCACTCCCAGGACTCACTGGGTGTAGGCCCTTGCTCACAGAGGAGGGCAGGAGTATAAAGTCTTTGAAATTATTGTTAAGATTTTCAAAGCCAAACACAAACCAATCTAAACAACAGAAACAATCCAGCTTTTGTTTCCACCATCAAAATAATATACTTTCACATTATTCCTCCAAACTGTACACAGCTGGTGTGTAAAATACACTGAATAGAACTGTGGAAAATGCAGATTGCAATAAAATCCATCCTAGGTGTAAATTGACTCAATATTTATCTCATCTAATATGCAAATCAAGGCAATGTATTCTCATTAGCATCGGCTCTGTTCCCTTTAAGCCAAACTAAATCTCCAGCCAGAGCAGGAAGAAAAAAATGATGTGTAGTTCTCTTTGAAGCTAATGAGGGTGTGATTAACCTCCTGCTTGGTTCTGGAGTGGCTCAGGAGAACTTACCCTGGGTAAAGCACAACATCAGTGCACACAACCCAAAACTCAAGGACACATTTGTGTGTGGTACCACATCAGGCACTAATAAAATACAAACAGGAAAGGGGAAAATCTAGATACTTTCTGGAATTTAAATGTGCAATCAAATGTAAAAGCATTTTTTCCAAGTACATATTTAACAGAAACAGCTGTGACATGGACCTTGCTGGCAAGCTGGGAGGCAGCAAAAAGATTTTCCAGGAGATGGTACATCTTACAGGCTCTGAAACACATCACTCACTGCAAACCGGTGCATCTGCTGTGTGGAATCTCTGTTACTACTCAGCTGGTTTAGAAGCCCATAGTTTTCTGGTCAGTTTTATAAAAAACCAAACAAAATGAACCCAAGAAACCCACCGAAATAAACAAAAGAATACCACACAAGAACTCTCACCAGAACTGCACTTCTAATGAATGGTGCTGCCCCCCAGCCTCCAAAGATTAATGTGATGACTTGGTTGCTCGGCTAAAAAGAACAACATAATGTTATTTATTAAACTAGTTTTAATCCATCTCTGTCTTTAACGATTGCTTTTGATTAGCAGTTTGAATTCTAACACTTGCACACAGCTGAAACAATGAGCAATGTGGCTTCCAGCAGCCTTGGGGGAGTGAAAGGTAGAAAATGTTGCAATTCAGGATTGTTCTTAATTTCCATATGTTGCTGAGCACTTCAGATGTCACCAGCGCTGTGAAGTGAGATCTCCTGGATAAAACTGCAGGGAAAGCAGAGGTCACACTACAGAATAAAGAGAAGAAAGTTGCTCACTGAAGTGAAGAGAAACAAAAGAGAAGCTCCACCTCTGAACCAGCTTCTCCAGAGAGCTCTGAGTGTGTCAGATCTGGTAGTGGATGAGCTCCTGAGGACTTTAAGTGCTTTCTGTAAGGGCAAGGGCTGTATAGAGCCCGAGGCTGAGGTGTCTGTGGCTGGGCTGGGAGGCAAGGACAATCTGAAGGGACAGTCTGGCAGGGCTAAGTTACTCCCCTCACCCTGCTGCCTCCTCTCCTGCCTGCACTAACAGCCTGGCCAGCCTGGGAGGGAGACAAGGGGAAGCCCTACCTGAGAAAATACATAAATCCAGCTCTTTTACAAGCCTTCGAACAGCTTCATGGACTGTTACTGTGGTGGATTAGCCAAGTAACACAGAATCACAGAATGGGATGAGTTGGGAGGGACCCCCAAGGATCATCAGTCCAACCCCTGGCCCTGCACAGGCCCATCCCCAGAGTCACTCCCTGTGCCCCAGAGGATCATCCAAACCCTCCTGGAGCTCTGGCAGCCTTGGGGCTGTGCCCACTGCCCTGGGGAGCCTGGGCAGTGCCCAACCAGCCTCTGGGGGAAGAACCTTTGGCTGAGATCCAACCTGAGCCTGCCCTGACACAGCTCCAGCCATTCCCTGGCTGCTGTCCCTGGTCCCCCCAGAGCAGAGCTCAGTCCCTGCCCCTCCTCTGCCCCTGCCCAGGAATTGGAACTGCACTGAGCTCTCCCCTCAGTCTCCTCTGCTCCAGCTGAACACACCAAGTGCCCTCAGTGTCCTCACACGGCTTCCCCTCAAACACAGCAGAGCAAGTTGGCAAAGGGCTGGTCCTGGGAGGGGTTTGAGTATGGTGACACACCAGGGTGACTGGAACAACTCCAACAGTGCATCTCCCACCTCTGTGAGGTGGGACACCTCTGTGAGGTGCCGACACTCTATAACTGGATGGATTCCCTTAAAGTTGCATCCTAAAAAACAGTACTCTAAAACCCCTCAACCTTCCATGGCACCGACTGATCTGTCCTGCTCTGATCCCCCTCCCCAGGGCACAGTGAGCAGCCTGGAGCTGTCAATTCTGCAGGCTACAGCCAGCTGTGCTTCCTCTGCCATGGAGAGCATGGGGAGACTTGGGGGGAGGCCACAGCATGGACCATTTGCTGACAGGGCACACCTATTCCTGCCGAACATCCTCCTTCATCCTGCTCCATGCCAGAGAGAACATGGCAAAAGGGCAAAGCAACTTAGCAGACAGGTTTTATGTTCTTTCGGAGTCATCTTCCCAACATGACACCTGCTTTACTATCATTCTTATTAGTGACAGAAGTTTGCAGTTCAGCTCCCTAATTTGTTCATCCCTTGTATCTTCCACAGTTGGGAAGCTAAGAAAACCTGCCCACAGGAAAGGGATTTAGCCAACTTGTCCATGCAATAATAAAACCTTCTATACTCTCAAGACAAGCCAAGTTCGTCCTTGAATAAACCTGTTCAAGTCACTCCAATAAATCCCCAAGGAGCAGCCACAACACCCTTGTAGGGGTACAGGGCAGATTATCATCACTCACTATTCAAGGCACTGTCAGGAACACAGAGCACCAGAACCAAGAAGAACTAAGAAAAAGCCATGTACAGCTTTAAAAGCAGCAGCAAGCACTAGCATTCTGAAAAGCTGACAGTGCTTTTATGGTTTATAAATCCATTTTGTTTTATTTTCCTTCATCCTATTTGTGGCGGGCTCATGTACTCCTACTAAAAATTCTTTTCAACTCCAATGTTTTCCCTGTGCAGTATAATCTTGAGGGAAAAAAAAATACTTTTCACATTACTGAAAAGGCATCTAGTGTGTTTTATAGTCTCCAGCACCTGGGAAAAAAACATAACAATTGAGTGATATGACATTTTAAGAGAACATGAAGGCAATCTCTAAATGAGATTTGAGCTCTTAGCCAGCTTTAGCACACTCTGATACTAATCTGGATCAGATCTCACTTCCAGGAGTGATGTGAATTCAATGCTGGGACCACTTGCCAATTAAAACAAGGTAACAGGCTGCTTTTTCCAGGTAGCTGGAAGATATGCACAGGTCCTGACCCTCCAACATCAAGCTTTTCAACTGCAAACCTCCATTTAGATCTGTTTTCTCAATGCATTTACTCCATGTTTCCATCACTTCCCCTCAGCCCTATAATCCCCAAGGCCCTCAGAAATGCTCTCCCAGCAGGACCCTCCTTCCCTTATACTCTCACAGAGCTGTGCCTCCTTTCCTGAGGCTTTACAGCAACCTCTGTTAACAGCACGAGTCCTTTCCCAGGTTTTGGGACACTGACTGGTAACTTCTACAGTTTTGCCATCCTCAGACAATGTGGAAGGGACATTCCTGTGCTCATTTCAATGTTTCCTCATAAACTTCCCTTTCAGGAGTGCAGTGACTCCAGGAAGTCCTGGTGACCATCCAACTGCCCCACTGGCAGCTCACACCCCCTGGCCAGGAGCTCAGCCCTGTGTTCCTCTGAGCAGGAGAACATTATCTTACCATCTTTATTCTGGATAAATAGGGCACTGTCTCCTGTGAAAACCTCACCTTTTTACACCTTGATTTTGCCTCTGGAAACTCATGAAATATTAAAGCCAACATCTCTGGAGAGGGAGTCTCTTATCTGTCCAGGGTACTAGTCTCACTTAACAGCCAGGTATTAAAGGACATGAAACAAGACACTTGAAAAACCAAATGAGCTGAATATGAAAAGTAAACCATGCTTCTCTCCTGGAAGATGAAATCGAGCCACACTAACAGCAGCATATAGAATTGGTGTAATGTAAGCAGTCACCTAAACAAAATGTCACAATACTTTGGAAGCAATACAAAAATACAGTTTGGTGTCCCATGGAATGAAGGTAGACTGGGAAAAAAACAACTCATGAGGTTCCTCAGTTCAGCTCAGTTCAAAGTAAAAACTGGATTTCTTTAGGTATCGAAAATTTTCAAATCATAGAATAGAATCAACCAGGCTGAAAAAGACGTCTGAGATCATCAAGTCCAACCCTGGATCCAACCCCGCTGTGGTTCCCAGCCCATGGCACTGATGCCACATCCACTCTCACCTTCAGCACCTCCAGGGACGGGGACTCCACCCCCTCCTCCCTGGGCAGCCCATTCCAATGGCTGAGCACTCTCTCTGGAAAGAATTTCTTCCCAATATCCAACCTAACCCTCCCCTGGCACAGCTGAAGACCCAGCCCTCTTGTCCTACTGCTGCTTCCTGGGAGCAGAGCCCAACCCCCCCCGGCTCCCCCCTCCTGTCAGGGAGTTGCAGAGTCAGGAGGTCTCCCCTGAGCCTCCTCTTCTCCAGCCTCAACACTCTCAGCTCCCTCAGCCTCTCCTCACAGCACTTGTGCTTCAGTCCCTTCTCCAGCCTTCTTGCTCTTCTCTGGACCTGCTCCAGCCCCTCCATGTCCTCCCTGAGAAGTTGTTTTTTGTTTGTTTTCTCATGTCAAAATAAAAACTGAACATTTGTGTTTTTCACCAAACAACACATTTTCTCACATTACACATTCTCCTACTGAGTGTTTTCCTACATTTTCACAGTATCCAAGGGCATTTGATGTCTTTGCAGAAACCAGTACCCCAATGCAAATGGTACCCAGACGTGCAGAAAAGGATCACAATTTCCTCGAGGTGCAGGTACAAACAACGAAGTGCTGCCCTGCTCACTGCTTACCTGGTGCACAGGGGGGAGACAGAGAAACAAAGAGAATCCCAAAATCATTGGGGCTGGAAAAGACCTCTGAGACCATCAAGTCCAATCTGTGAGGGATCCTCACCTTGGCAGTGAGTGCCACATCCAGCCTGTTCTCAGACCCCTCCAGGGGTGGTAAGTGCACCACCAACATTAGAATGACAACAGAAGAACATTTATTTCACTCCCTTCCCTTGTACCACATGAAATTCTACATTAGGCAACAAGCTGGAAACAGGTGCAAAATATCTTGAATATCTGATTTCCAAACCTACTTAGATATTCTCAAGCAGGCTGAGACTCCTCTGTGCTGCACTTGAGCCTTCCTGCCTTTTGGAATCCTGGCTGTGCAGGACGTTTGGCACTGCTCTCTGTGACATTTAACTCAGGAGTGTTGCCATCTTCCCAAAGTGTGTATTTTCAGATGCACAACTTCCAACTCACTTTGGAGGGGAGGGTTTTTTTAAGCACTAAAATCAACACTATGAGTAGCAACAGGCAAATATGAAAGGTATCATCATATAAAACCAGAATTTTTTTGACAATTTTGATGGAAATTAGCAGTTGATATCCATGCAACATCATGTATTTTGGCATTAAGGGAACCCAAATCAATGTACAAGTAGGGAACATTTGTATACCAACAATCAGACTTGTTGGCTTAAGAAAATGACAGGCAAATAACTGAGAGCTCCATTTTCCTGACCTTATAAAAATCACAGAGATTTAAGAAGACAATTTCTCTCCTGAATTCTTTTTATTTAATGTATGACTAGAATAATAGCTTACAAGCAATAGACTGATCAAGCTACTTGCCTTTAAACAAGATTTCCTCTATAATTAAAGGAAGTCTCCTATCCTCAGACATCATCCTATTAAATGTGACAGGAAATGCAACCAATAAATAATTAAGTCTGTGTTTAGTTATAAATAAAAGATCAACAATATAATATTCTAAGAGTCACACTCAATCAATTATCAGTATTAACCAGTAATTACTTAAAGATTAGCACATTTAAAAATTAAACTAAAAGTGCAAGAAGAAAAAAATCTATTTGGATCGAGTATAATTAAGGAATTTCTTACATCTTGTGCAATCTATGTCTTGCATCCCATATATTTCATTCCTAGATTTGTTTGCTTGGCTAAAATATTTACACACTGTTGGGAATGACATGGTCTAAGTGTCAAACTATTCACATCCCTAAAACTCTTGCACAAGGAAGGTACTTTGGAGCAGGCAACATTCAGGTACTTTAAAATATTTTTAAATAATGCAAGTGGTTAATTTCTTAATAATTGTTCCTGTCACAACAATATCAAGAGCACTGCTGTCCTTTCCGAGTAAACTCTGCTTGACAGGGACAGATGTTTTAAATACTCCCTCACCCCTGGTCCCAAAGGCTCATAAAGGCTGTCAGTCACAGCTCTCAGTGTGTGTGTGTGTGTGTATTTATTTGGTGTGTATTTATTTTATGTGGTGTTTCTAGGCATCCACCCCAGCAAGGTTCAGTGTCTGGTGTTTGTTTCCACCAGGCAGAGCACATGGAGAAATCTCCACTGCTGGGGGTTAGTTAATGTGCTTTTTCCCACAACAACTTGGGGTGGGTTGTTGTGGAAAACAGAGCTCCAGCACCTATGAACTCTGCAAGCACAAGGGGTTGGGTGGGAAAAACCTAACAAATTAAAATGTGCATTTTATTCTGCAAGAAAAAAAAATTATTAATTTAGTACTTTAATAACTTATTTGTTCAATCTTCTGACAAGATACAACAAAATTGTACCTTTAACTTCTATTATTAGATGTCCTATATTAAGGAATCTTAACCTAAACAAGCATCTTTCTGTTTATGATATATGAATTGACACAGAATTACACACGCACACACAGAATTATCGCTCTCTATCCTTCCCTACTTCTTCAACCAAAGGAAAAAAATACCAGAACAATACAAAAGAGAGGCAAAAAAAACAATACCTGGTGTCAAGTGCGCTGATAATTCAGCAGTTGGCCTCCCAAGTTGCACGGTATCCAAAAAAGTAGGAAACATCAGCCATGGGACAGGAGGGTTTCAAGTTAGATGATCCATGTGCACATGGCTGCAATACTACTTATTTCTGTATAAAC